TAAATCTATAACTTCTTTTTCAATTTGGAATGTAACTAGAATGATTGATTAGTTTAACTATTAGTTTTTTCCAAACTAAAAGTATAGCTTTGTTAATTTTTACTAATTCTAAGCATTGATGTATTATCCTATTTTTTAGTAACTTTAGATTATAAATTTTTTATTTTGATTAATCACTTAATCAGAATTACAAAAATTTTATTTGCTTAAGGACAATTAAGAGTTTAAGATGGGGAGGATTTGATGAGTATTGATACGTCATGCTTTTATATGTTAAATTGCTAGTGAAACCATTTTATTTTAATTATATTTATGCAAACAAATGTAGGAAATGTGCAAAAATTTTTAGGTATGGAACAACACCACGATGTAGGACACGACACTGTCGCGGTGCCATCATTGAGTATAAATATTGTAATATTTTATATCTTAAATTGCTAGTGAAACCATTTTATTTTAATTATATTTATGCAAACAAATGTAGGAAATGTGCAAAAATTTTTAGGTATGGAACAACACCACGATGTAAGACACGACACTGCTGCGGTGCCATCATTGACATCGCCGGAGTGCCCAATATGGACATGGCGGTGTGCAATCTCTGTTTAATAGTGTCATAGTGTCGGAGGAGTCAGTCTTGCAAAGCCTAGTCTCTGTCTAGACAGCACGCGGCGCCAATTTTCAGCACTAGTACTAACCCAAGGGAGTGCCACGTGGATGCAACAACACTCAACCGTTAGTAGCGCTTCAGTGTGACAGTTGAAATCATTCAAGACACGATCTGCTAGTGAAGCAACACATCTATTCACTAAATAAACATATTTCTCTAATTTCTTTGTTATTGTTATGCATATAAAGTTAAATTTCTCTAATAGGAACAAATCTTTTAAAGACCTCTAATAATCCTTGATTTTTAAAATCATTATCTCTCATTTTTTTATATAAATGTTGTATATGCTTATGTTAAATGATAAATTGAGAGAAAAACACATATAATGAAAAAATATATTTTGCATTGATAGAACAAAGCTCTTTTTAAAGTATTTAGAGTGATATTAAATTTTGACATAAAATTTTAAAATAGTTTATAATTAAAATAAAATTCATTTATCTTCAGACATCAGTTTTTACAATATACTTTATCATTAGCCATTCAACTCATTAATGATCAAGGCTATTAATCAAGTCCATTCTAACGTTTATAAATACTGATAGTTATAAAGTATGAAAAATATTAGTATATTTATAAAATACACGTGAGACTTTCATGTGAATATATAAATTTGCGTATAAACACTCCCAAAAATATAATGTTTTCGCAGTGGTTAGTAGCGACGGTTTGAAAATGCCGCTACAGCATGGTATAGGCAAAAGTTTTAACGGTTGCTAAAACCACACCTATGACATATGGAATTCCTGCCTTAACTCAGTCTGCCTGCGCACCCCAAATCCCACCCTAACTCATCTTGCTTGTGCATCGTTTGACCGACATCTTCCTTCTTTCTTTTGCGCTTCGTCTGTCTGACCAAGAGAGCCATTCCATGAGCATCTGCAACAGACTCGCTCCTCCCAACGCCAAATCAACTGCCTCCACCACTATCGAATATGTTGTCATCGTCGAATTTATCATCGCCATTCATCAGCTAGAATTTTAAATTGATTTTATCATGTAACTCCATTTCTATAAAGAGAAGCATGAATGCAAAGTTGAAAATATCTTATCATGAAAATCAATTGCAAATTGTTAAAGATAAATCAAATATGTGCCTCTTTCAAATCATTAAAAAAAAATCAATTTTGCAGCAGTTTTAACGACTGTTATTGAACCATTGTCCAGTGTTGCATCGATTAAAATTGCTTCCCAATTTTGCAGGTGTTAAAATCACTACCCAGTTTTGCAGGAGTAATTGCCCAAATTTACAAGTGACTGAATGTAGAATTATAGCAGTTAAAACTGCTGCCAAAACTAATGCTACTAAAAATAGGTTCAAATACATTGGTTCATTGAGCACTACGGAAGTCGTTTCCAAATACGACTGATGTGTAGCAGTTTGTAAACCACTATTGCGAAGAAGATAGTAGGTGTTTTAACCGCTATTGTAGGCCAAAAACATTGTTGCGAAAGCATGATTTAGTAGTAGTGAGAGCTTAATGAAGAATAATGACAACAAATATAACATTATTTATTGGGGGGTAGAGTAGGGTATTATTTATTGATTATTTAGAGTGTCTTATATGCTTAGAAATATTTTTTATTTTTTATTACTCCATACATGTTGATTTTCTTCCTCAGCTCAATATTTGCAAGATGGGCATTACTCACGTATATGCGAGGATTGAACCCAAGAACTTAATAATGCTTTGCGAGATTTTATTTGTTTCTTCCTATATTTTTAGCGTTATAAATTAGGAATGTAAATGAGACAAGTTGAGTTCGATTCAACTTTTTCTTGAACCTGAGTTTGAATAATTTATCGAGTTCAAGCTCAAATTTGAATTTAATTATATGAGTTAAAGTTAGGTCATGAGCCAACTCAATTATTATGAAAGTGAAAACATGATTTTGATGCATACTGATACGTCGTCATAAAATTATCTTGAACTGACACGAATCTCGAGGCAAATGCTAGGTGGAAACTTCAAAAATTAAATCCAGAAGCACCAAAACTCCAATTTCAGCGAGCCTACAGTCAAACTGAGCGTCTCGGAAATACGAACCCAACGACACCAAGTTCAACCCAATCCGAGCCCAAATGAGTCCGAATCAAGGACCCAAAGCAATGTTGGAAGGTTCAAACCGCAATTTGAGTTACCAAACGGTCTCCGATTTTAACGAGCTTATACTTGAATCGAGCGGCTCGACGAGACAAATCCAATGAGCCCAAGATCACCGAATTCCAACATCAATAAGGCCTCCAAATGTCCAATGAACGGTACACGATCGAAGGGTTCAATATCGGCCGTCCATTCGAACCACTCCCTATTCGCCCATGATCTCACATCTATTTACGAGCCACGCCACTCCAGAAAAACTATAAATAGAGTTCTCATTCTACACAAAGGGGACTCAAGTGAAGAGACAGAAGAAGAAGAGAAGAAGGAGGAGAAGGATGAAGCTCCTCCTCGACCACCGCCGGAGCTCTTCCCGCCGCCTTAAGACGCCGGAACTCTGTCGGATTTTTGCGAGAATGCCAGAATTCTGTCTAACTTCCATGGGATGTGGAAATTTTTCCCAATTTACAGCAGAGTTCCCTCCTGAAGCCGAAACTCCGCCCAAGTGAAGCCAGATTTCTTCTCTGCCACCAACAGACGTCGGACTTCTACCCGACGTCGGACCTTCACTCTTCGCCAAGTTTCTACCCGACGCCGGACTTCTACCGGTTATCGGACTTCACTGGACGTCTATGCGAAGATGGATTTCTTTCCATTGATGGACTTCTACCTAACGCTGTCCTTCTGATCTTCGTCGTCAGACTATAGTCTTCTGATCTCCGTCGCCGCCGACTACGGTTCTCCTGACTCACGTCGCCCGCCGACTACAGTCTTTCTGACGTCAGTTGCCCGCCGACTACGGTACTCCTGACTTACGTCGCCCGTCGACTACAATCTTTTAGACCTCCGTCGCTAGTCGACTACGGTCCTCCTGACTTACGTCGCCCACCGACTATAAGCCTTCCGACCTCCATCACCAGCCGACTATGGTCCTCCTGACTTACGTCGCCCGTCGACTACAGTCTTTCCGACATCCGTCGCCAGCCGACTACGGTCATCCTGACTTATGTCGCCCGCCGACCACAGTCTTTCCGACATCCGTCGCCCGCCTACTACGGTTCTCCTGACTCACGTTGCCCGCCGACTACAGTCTTTCCGACCTCTGTCGCCCGCCGACTACGGTCCTCCTGACTTACATCGCCCGCCGACTACGGTCCTCCCTACCAAACGAACATGTCAATAGTGATTCTTTGTATTCATATCATGTAATGTACTCTATAAAATGTACATCAAGCTAAGGCCTTCTCCCAAGGAAGTGCCTCATTTGTAATCGACTGCAATACTAGTGGATTCATTCAAATTGGGCTAGGCCCCGTGGTTTTTCCCCCTTTTCAGGGGTTTTCCACGTAAAAATCTTGGTGTCACATAAATGCTAGACCCTCTCTCTTATCTGATTGCGTGCCGGATTTTCGTACAATGCTAAGACGATAAACTTTATATTTCTCTACCGCCGCGAATACTCCTGGACGCAACACATACATATGTTATAGTAAAATGATATAATAATGTAAATTTAGAAGAAAAATTATTAAGAATAATTTGGTAGAAGAAAATGATATATAATTTTTAAATATCTTTAAGAACATTTTACTTAAACAAATAAATACTAATACATTTTAAACTTATTTGATATTAATATTTTTTAAACGAAACGGCTTTCAACCTAAGAAGTCTAGTCAAGCTTGTTTCAATTTTAACTCGTTAGCTTATGAAGCTATGCTCACGGGTGCTTTATCGTGCTGATTATACATCAGCTAACGAGTCAGCTCACACCGTTATTAAAAATCCTTATATATTCTCTCTTTATATTTTCGCTTTTACAAAAAGTTTTTTTATTTTATTTTAACTTGAGCCAATTAAAGGTAAACTCACAAACACATCACATACGCAATTTTTGAACCCTTGTTAGTTAGTAGCCAAAGGTCATATCCAACAAATCAAAATGAGCTGTCATATACATTTTCCAAAAGAAAACAAAAATAAAAAATTAGGTTAAGCTGAAATTAACTAATTAGATTAAGCATCTGCATCTTCAGATCGGCTCGACCCGTTTACATTCTTAGACCCGATCCAACCCCATCCGTGGATCCAAGGTTCCGACCTTGCCGCTTCGGTCGCCGTCGAATTCTAATAAATCGGCGATACTTGAAAGTAATAAATCGGCGATCCGGAAAAACGTTTTTTAAATCGTATAAATTGGACGGGGGGGCGTGAGGTGGTTTGCAGCTAGAAAAAGCTACGAGGACTTAAGAGAGAGAAACTGATGCGGTAGAGGGGAGAGAAGCAACCTCCCCATTTTTTCCGAATTCTTTTAGCAGAGGAAACAGACCATTGTCGCAGTGGAGAGAGAAGGAGAAAGAGAGAGGACGCGAAGAAGAATCGATCGCAATTCTTGTCATTTAACACCGCGCCCACTTGCCGAAATCAGTTCTGAAATAAATTGAACTCGTCCGTGAGGCCCGCTCGCAGATTTATTCTCCTTGTAAGATCGATAAGGAGGCGGAGTTCTGGGCGTCGGAGCGGTGATTCTAGCTTCTGCGAGTTAGCCGGGCGGGGCGGAGGTACTGCGCGGAATCGCTTTCATTTCAGGGCTGTAATTTCCCATACGGATTACGTGGAGCTTTAGGTTTTGCTTCTAGCGAATCAGGGTTTAGGTTCCGTCGCGGCTCCGCGGATCTGGGGTCGGTTAATTTTGTGGTCATTTGTTTGTGTTTTATGAGGTCCTGGATAGATTTAATACTTTTCTGAGGGATTAAGGGGTTTGCTTAGGATTCGATGGACCTCTGATAATATTTTTTTGAATCGCAGCATTTTCTTGTTGGATTCATATTATTGTGCCGATTAAAGCAACACCTGACAAAATGCAGGTTCTTGAGGTTCTTTTTTTTTTACCCTAGAATGTACTACTGTTGAATGTTGAATCTGGGAATACAAATTGAGAGCTAAGACCCCTATTGCTTTTTTATTTTTTGGAACCTTGATTTGTTTTTCTGCTTTTCCTTTTTATAAGTTGTGCTGTTTAAGTTCTGCGTTAAGGCTTGTTTTTACATGGATGAAGATTTTGGGCTTGATCTATTTAAAAGTTATTTTTAATAGGAAGTACTAGTACGTTTCTTTCTGAATTTTTCGCTTCCGCGTTCTTTTAAATGTTGAACATTGTAAGTGTATAACGCTATATTGATCTCTGCTCCCCTCTGGAATAATCTGTGGATGAAAGGATAAATTTTCCTCAATTATTTTGACATTCATTCTTGTAGTATGCAGTTTAGTTGTTTCCAGATTTAAAATTTGCTGATCACATGTACGGTTTGGGTTTTGCAGGTTATGTCTTCAACAGTCTGAATCACTTAAGGTCCTTCCAGCTGAAGAGAATGTCATGTTAGTACATCACTCTTATTCTTAACTACACTTGCTTCTTGCAAGAAAGAAGTTTTCTGCATGGTTTCTTTTCTTTCTTAGAACGTTCTATTTGTTGCCTTGTTCGCAGTGTACCACAGCGAAGGGCTTGAAGGATCCTTTTCTCAAGACGAGAGGAGAGAGCGGAGGTCTGATATTGAAAACTCGGAGGATGAGAGAAGGAGAACAAAGATCGGATCCCTTAAAAAAAAAGCATTGAACGCCTCCTCAAAATTTACGCATTCTCTCAAGAAAAGAGGAAAGAGAAAAGTTGATTCCAGGGCTGCCTCAGTTTCAATTGAGGACTTCAGGGATGAGGAAGAAGAGCGTTCCGTTTGTGCATTTAGGCAAGAACTCATTGCTAGAGATTTGTTACCGGAGAAGCATGATGACTATCATACACTACTCAGGTTTTCTTTGATTGTCTTCTATTCTGTTTATTTTATCACCATCAATGCTACATGTTGGTTTCATTCAACATGACAAATCGTCTTCAGCGACGAGTGTTTTTTTATTTTTTAAGACTTTTCAAATTCTGAAGCCTCGCTTATGAAAAATGCAGGTTTCTAAAAGCTAGAAAATTTGATTTGGCCAAAACAACTCAGATGTGGCATGAGATGCTTCGCTGGAGAAAAGAATTCGGAACTGACACAATAACGGAGGTAAACTTGCCATTACTTGTCCTGCAACGCTTATAATTAACTTAACTAGGTTTTAAATAAATTATGGATGGCCTCAGTTCCTAATAAATAAATGATGCACTTTTTCTTTTTTTTTTGAGACTTTTGAGCTAATTAAGGCTTCGTTGGGATGACTTTTGAGCTAATTTTAATTTTTCTACTAAAAAGCTGCTTTAAGAAGCAACAAGAAAGTCATCCCAAACGAAACCTAAGTCAAACTCACACACATCACACATACGTAAGTTTTGGACTTAAGACATTTTGGATGGTTGCCAAAGCTTCCAATCAACATACTAAGATGAGCTGCACAAATATCTTACTTTTATAAGAACATTTAATATGTATCACTGGTCTTTCCATAATTAATATTAAGATTTGTAATAAGTTTTGAATAAACTTAGTGTGTTGGGATTCATCTATTTTTCAAATTAGATGAACTTTTCGTAGTAGCCACTGGGGTTATGTTTAATATGTTTTCCAAGATAAATTTTTTACAGTTGTTTATGATTAATTGCATGATTCTTTCTTATTTCACTTGGATTTTTTTTGTTTTCTGAAATTGGCAATGCTTCAACCGAAGCTTTTTATAAGCTATGATAACGTTTATATAATCAAAATATCCTTACTTTTAATGGACCCAAAATGATTATCTAATAATTGTTATAGTTCTTCTAGATGCTTCCGTCATTCTTTATTACCTTGGAAATTTTATTTGGCAAAGTTAAACTAAAACATAAACAAAGTTGTGATATTCATTCCATGGGAATATGCATTAAGTTTTGAAATGATGTCTCATTTTAAGGCTTTGTTTGGGAGTACAATGGACCCCATGCAGGTCCAATGTGAGGGAAAAGCTGCTTTTCCCACGCATGAGATGCAATGGGTCTGAAGGCTTCCCTCTTGTGCACGGGTTGTTTGGGGCCAGTGTGTGCTTCTTTCCCAAACAGAGCCTAAGGGTTATGTATAACCTTTCTTTTACTCTTTTTATTTTTTTTTATTTTATTTGAACTTTCCCTGTCCTGGTTCTACCGTTTTATCTGCAGGATTAACACTCTTGTATGATTTGTTTAAATTCCAAGGACTTTGAATTTGAGGAGTTAGGCGAAGTACTGCACTACTATCCTCAAGGGTATCATGGAGTTGACAAAGAGGGCAGGCCAGTGTATATTGAGAGGCTTGGAAAAATTGAGCCAAGCAAGCTAATGCATATCACCACTTTGGATCGATACCTAAAATATCACGTGCAGGAATTCGAGAAAGCATTTCTTGAAAAGTTTCCTGCTTGTTCAATTGCAGCGAAAAGACACATCAACACAACAACGACTATATTAGATGTACATGGTGTGGTATGTTTGTGAATTCCTTGAATTATTTTATTGGTAATATGCTGCTGCAACAAGTAATCCTCTTAACCTTCGATATAATCTGATTGTTATTGCAAGGGTTGGAAGCATTGGAGCAAAACAGTGAGAGACCTTGTGATGAGCATTCAGAAAATAGATGGTGATTTCTATCCTGAGGTAGCTTATATATGGAGAAGTAGATATTTCTTTTTTATTTATTGTTTTTGAATAACCTAATGATTGTTATTTGATTGTTTGCATGCGCAGACATTGCATCAGATGTTCATTGTGAATGCTGGCTCAGGATTCAAGCTCATCTGGAACACAGTAAAGGGTTTTCTTGACCCAAAAACTACTGCGAAGATACATGTATGTTTCTAGTTGGATGTCAGAGTTGTCTTCCTTGATTTTTACTGTTTGAATGATGCCTTAGTTATTTTCTTTAATATGCTTACAGTTACTTGGATCAAAATATCAGAATAGATTACTTGAAGCAATTGATGCTAGGTTTGTCTTTACCTGCATTTAGCACAAAGTGCCTCCCAAGTCATTTTAACATCCATATTAACCTGAAGTTTCTTTATATACCAGCCAACTTCCTGATTTCTTTGGAGGTTTGTGCACTTGTTCGGATGCAGGAGGCTGCCTTGGGTCCAATAAAGGACCTTGGAATGATCCTTTTATCATGAAGGTCACCTACAATATGCATGTTTGGCTAGTTTTATTATTAGATTAACTTACAGAATCTTCTTTTAAAATTTAGTTATACTCAATAATAATCAAGCTATGATAAGTAAAAACGGTTAAAAAGTAATCAAAATTTCTCCCTTTCCTTCAAATTTGTAGCTTGCTCGTAATGTCCATGTATCTTTTGTGAGGCAAATCAGACATGCATCCGATGGAAAGCCAATAGGAAAACCTTGCATACCACTGCGGCCATTGAAGGCAAGAAATTTTATACCCTTTCTTGGTTTTAATTGTATGCTTCAACCATCTTTTAGTTCTCTTAATTAAATTGATTTCAATATCAGGCAAGATGCAGTGACACTTCTACTGCTGAATCAGGATCAGATGCTGATGATATTGGTTCTCCTGTTGCATCTCGAAATGCTGAGTATGCCCGGCTTGCTCCAGTTCATGAAGAAGTGAGCTTCTCTTTAGTATTTACATTCTACTTTGGAAGTTATTACTCGTGTTTTTATGCCAAGCATAGTCAACTATTACATCTATTGAAAAGTTTTGGTTGTACTGCATTTAATAGCTGTATTGGCACTCATATGAAATATGTAACATTTCAGGGGTAAGATTTTAACTTACATTGAGAATGCATTGGTCTTTGATAATGTAAAATTTATACCATATAGCAACAATGATATGGAAATAAATTTAGCAACGGAGCACTGTTGAATTGGAAGTTGAAGGCCAATGCTGGTTTTTTTCAGCAGCAGTGATGAATCTGTTGTTTAGATTGTTTTAAATTTATTACTTGCGGTCTTGCTAATATATCACAAGGAAGCTTAAGTTACATTTGAAGGAGGGTGGAAGTGTTTTAGCATTTCTTACTTAATAAACAATTTATGGAGGTAAAATCTTGATTTTAAACTTTCATTTCATCGGTTCCTGTTGAGATTGTGAAGCCTGAAGTTTAAACATATTTAGGTAGGGATACCGTTTTATATGTTGTTTAGTTTACTTTTTTATGATGGTCAAAATCACTGTGTGAAATGTTGATAAGCATTCTATTAAGACTTAGCTGCAGGTTTCCTTTAATCAATACCGAAACAAGCAATTATACACTAGGCGTCGTGCATAGGATCATTGTCTTTCTCATGACAGCTTTTCAGGCAGAAGATGCATGATTACAAGGTTACTGCAGCATTATTATTGTCATAACCGTTTGCACTTGTTATCTGTATTGCTTGGCAGTTCCTTTGACATTTTTGAACGTTAAATTTTTATTTCCAATGTTATGTTCATAAGTTTCTCAGCATTGTATTTTTTTTTTCTCTCGCTATATGTACCAATAAAGAGTCGCAAATTTTTAGAGTTTCAACAAAAGTTATGCCCCTTTAAGCTGATTGAATTTTGGCTCTTAACATTTGGTGTAGACGTTGCACAAGACAATTTTAAGCAATACCAAAACAGTGCAATATTCTTAATTTTATGAATAACCATTGTGCCAGCTCCAGCACAGCAAAGTAGCCTTTTTAATAGGAGTTACTGCATTACTGGATATTACATGCTGTGATAAATAGTTAGTTTAATTTGTGAATAAATAGTTAATGAAATGGCTAGTAAATATTTGTACTGATGTTAAATCTGTTCTGTTTTGTATCTGGTTCAGGTTAGAGCAAACGATTCAAGTTCATATTACAGCTGTGATGACCATTTTGTTGTGGTTAATAATGCTGCTGACAATGTTCATGATGGGTCGGGATTTTCTAGAGCCTCAAATAGAGGAGTGGGTGACCAAATACATCCCTATGGTAAGACAACGCCAAATTGGAATTAATTAATATTATCCAGTTCCTTCCATTTCCTCAAAAAATAAAAATAAAAAATTCCATGGAATAGCATTCAAAATTGGATAAAAATGGAAAGGTGAACTATCATCTGTGCCTCCCTGATGAAGCTAGTTGGGGCTAATAGCTAAATGAACGTCTGTTCAGAGTAATTACTACTCTGTCATCACTGCGCTTATCAAAATGTAATCTCATTTAAAAAAAATAGTGTCATCAGCATGCCATATTTTCCCAACGAATGAAAGAATTGTAATCTCCATCCATTAGATATAATATAGTATTTTCTTTCTTGGATAAAGGTTTTGCATAATAATGCGATATCAATTTCTTATATGCTAAGGACATTGTCGCCATGAGGTTATACTAGATGATGGTTAAGAATTGTGTCAAAGTAATACACAATAATAATGTATTGGAATGCTTTTACTCTTATATTATCTTGTGTGTTTTCTCGTTCTGTCCAATAATTTGAGACTGCCGCAAATTATTGTGCTATGTTATGTGGTCTTATGGTATTTTTGTATCTTGTGCAATGGCTACAGCCATTACGATGCTTTTTATCCGATTATCTTTTGTAGTTTAGTAAGACAGATTCTATAGACTGATCTGCACTTTATTGTAACAATTTTACTTAAATGTTCTCTATGTCATCTTAGTGTGCAAGTGCATAAATTGCTTCTTCTTTCCAATATCTGTTACATTGCCTTCCCCGACTACAGCCTTTAGTCACTATTGACCTTCATATATAGTGCATTTTATAATAATTTATTTGTTTTATTAATGTTGACAATCTCATGATTCTACTTGTCAATGCTATAAAATAATCAAACCATATATTCTGAGAGAGGGTGGCTCAGACCTAGTCGGCATAAATCTGAGGAAAAAACTTAAATTGTGTGCCAACAGAGCTAGCTAACTTGCTTGGTTTTTACATGCTGTTTGTAACCTTCAGTTTCTTGTGATATAGAAAATGGCCTTGTTTTATCATTTCGCCATCTCTCATACATGAAGTTAGAAGTAAAATGAGTTGTTACTCATGTTTTCAGGTTATTTAGGCCTTGAAAGGCTAAATGAAGAATCAATTCAAGGAATCCTAAGATATTTTGCAAAGGCCTTGATGATGTTCTTTATCAAGCTTCTCTCGGTCTTTCACGCCTTCATTATAAAACAAAGCCGGAGGGTTGAGGCAGTTCACCCTTCAGATACTGTGGCCTCTCAGGCTGGAGATAATCATGAAGTTGTCGAGGATATTAAAGAAGAACATGTAAATCCTTGCTTAGAACGAATTCAGAGGCTTGAAGAAATGTTCAGTGAGATAAAAAGAAAACCCCCTGAAATTCCTGCAGAGAAAGAGCGAGTACTTATGGAATCTTGGTGCAGAATCAAATCCATTGAGTTTGACCTTGAGAAGACCAAGAGAGTAAGTTTCTGCATCCATATTGAAGCGTTCATCTTATGATTGAATTGACTGCTGCGCGTGCACTTTTTCAGAAGTGAGGAATTTCTTTAACTCTTTCTATGAGCATAATCAAACAGTTTCTTTTAAATACCCGATAGCTAAAGTACAGCAACTATTACGATTCTAACAGAAAACATTTTTCACAATTATATATACTTATCATTTGGCAGGTTATCAGGCTCCAACCAAAGCATGAAACTTTATCTAGCCTCTTCAATCTTCCACCATGACTCTTAGCTAAACTGCTTAAAGCACCATAAAGATCTTAGCTGTTAAAACCAAAGCCTAATCTACCTAGTATTTACTCTTAACATTTGGCTTATAAGTTGCTTTCTGTTAAATCAGTTGTATGCTTATTTAATTTCAGGTTCTCCACGCCACTGTTATGAAGCAAATAGAGATTTCTGAGACATTAGATGTTGTGCAGGAGTCCAGTGGTAGGGTAAGTAATCTTCTCAAAATCCACAATCAATTCCTGCTTTAGTTGGTGGTATAATAACTTAAATTACCACCTTCTGGAGCAATATCAATGATTTGTCTTCCTCTATGTTATGCAGAAAAGATCTTTTTGCCGATGAAATAAAGAACAGAGTTTGGAGTAGCTGTGCATGAATTAGGAGCCAGAATGTTGTAATTAGCAAGGAGAAAAATGCATGCATGCCGAAGCATTCTTCTAGCCATAGCAACTCCTTTCCTTTTTTTGTCCAATTTTTGTGAATGTTTTGATCTATTCACAACTTTCCACCCAGGGAGATGTATCTGGCTTCAAATTTTAATTTGTGTTCACAGGAAGTGTTAGGTTTAGATCAGCAAAAATTGAACAAAACCACACGAGATTTCTGTTAATACAAAAGTAGTTCTTTGATCTCCTTCAGCTTCTCTTTGTAAGTTATTTTATTTTCAAAACGGATTAATAGATGTCTTAGAATTGCTAGGACGAGAAGCTTGTTATACCCATTCTTCTCATTTTCGCCTTTTTAACTAAATAGAGATAAAGAACTACGAAAGTTTTATTGAAACAAGTTGGCCTAAAGACTAAAGGAGAAGCCAATGATGAGCATACGGAAAATGGTTTATTACATACTTGTAAAACATCTATCCAGCCCTTTCTCCATTCTGATTTGTTCAGTCAGGTTGGGGTAAATCTATTAGTTATTCATATTAAACATTTTGTTAAGATGCAGTTGCTTGCATTTTGGCTCCAGACCTCTTCGCTTCAACTAAGTAATATGATTACTCACAAATATCCAGAACACTAGGAGAGATTATTCTGTGCGGACACCGGATGCAGCTTACTGTTAATAGGCCAATCAGGTGCAGCCACGTCATCCAGTATCGAGCAGTACTGAGCCGCGATACTGAGTAGGGGTGATGTGGCACATTTTCATTGGATTTTGGACTGCGATCGGCGTCCGCACAGAATAAATCATCGAAGCTCAAGCAATCCATACAAGGCGCTTAGCTTTTATCATCTACAAAAGTTATGAAAAATAGATTCTCTTCCTGATCCTCAAAGAGCTCCTTTGTGCCCAAAGAATTCTTTGAAGGTCGGACAAACCAAAATAATTCTTTTAAGGATTTGTATACAGATAGATCAGCTTTAACAACTTAAATAACATGCTGATGACTTTCGGCAGGTAGCAATGTTCAGTAATCCTGAACATTAAATATAGTTTAAGCAGCAGAAGGCCCCGAGCAGTAGAAAACAATCTTGACTCGGAAAGCTAAATAGTCAACCAATTTATATTCCATTCACCACTGGTAGCGATCCAAAAATTTCCCCTGATTGCCTAGACAAAGTAAGACCATCCAAGGGGAAGGTAAAAATTGTCTAAGATGGCTTCAAATCATTATCCGGACATCAATAAAAAAGAAAGTACCTTGCAGCTATTGCTAGGAGAGACTTAATAGCTGCTTTAGGCTTTGTTTACTATAGTTTTTTTATTTTTATTTAAAATAATTTTTTTGTATAAAAAGACTAGTCAAGGGAAGCAATTTCTTCCCTCTCATCAACAATCCCCTAAATGTCTCCAAAAAGAAGTATAAAAATTTCTTGTACTAAAAAATTGCTTTAAGAAACATTATGAAAGTCTTTCTAAACGAAACCTTATGTGGGCTCCAAAAATTCCCATCCATACGCCCCCGGCCTCTCCGCATCATATCTTTTTTTTATTATTGTTTATGTGACGGCAAAGAGTTTTAACTAGCTTAGATTCCGAGTGAATTTTTAGAAGGTAGATTGGGTTTTAAATAAGACACTACGCAGAGATTTTCGCCCTCATTTTGTAATAACTTTTTTATTTGAGTTCCGATTTTCTATGGGTGTTCCGCTACTACGGCCTTTCTTATGGCTTGTTGAGTAGACGGAGCTGCCAGCGATCCGGACATATTTGGGCATGTTGGATCCGATCTTTTATATCCATTCGAACCTTAAGCTTCAGACTGTTGAAAGACTTCAAGCTTCTTTGGCTCAATTTTGTAGGAGTGTGTGCCACAAAAGTCTCTTTCTTGACTTTTGAGTCTTTGTTCATTGGAGAAGGTCATGTCTCTAGCTTTTGAAAGATAACCTGCATATATTCTTAAAAAAGAAATCGTTGTATTCTTTAGCGCAAAAGAATATTTGAATTGATAATTTTAAATATTTATTCGGGGATCTCGGCATGCAGCGCGATGTCGACCCGAATAAATATTTAAAATGTCCCCTGTCTCACAGGGATATTCTAGAATAGAATAAATTTGGAATTTTGAGATTTTAAATATTCATTTAGGGATCTCAGCGTGTAGCACGATGTCGACCCAAATAAATATTTAAAATGCCCCCTGTCTCGTAGGGATATTTCAAAGTAGAATAAATTTGAGATTTAATATTTTAAATATTCAGTTGGGGATTTCGTTGTGTAACACGATGTCAATCCAAATGAATATTTAAAAATGCCCTCTATCTTGTAGGGACATTTTAGATAGACTTTGTATCTTTGAGATTTTAAATATTTGTTTGGGGAACTCGGCATACGGCGTGATTTCGACCTGAATAAATATTTAAAATATCCCCAGTGATGGGGGATTTTGAAATGCATTCTTGCTATATAAGAGAATTTCAAAATATAGATGTAAACATGCATTGATAACTATGCACATAAAACTTTGGTCATTATAAAGTATATCAATCATGAAATTTTTATGCATCATACTTTTTTAAATGTCGACCGTTGATAGGCGGCATGGGTCTCTAACCATTCAGATCAATCAACTGATATGCTCCTCCTTGGTACACCTTCTCGATGATGAATGAGCCTTCCCAATTGGATATAAATTTGTCATCGATTTTTCAGTGTTGGATGATTGGTATTCTTAGCACCAGGACCAATTCCCCTTCTTGAAATGTTCGATGGCGCACCATCCGATCAAAGGATTTTATCATTTTTCCTCGATAGATTTCTAGGTTTTATTGAGCTCGTAACCTGAGTTTATCAAGTGCGTCGAGCTCTTCCATTATAAGGTGGGCTTTTTGCTCTTAAGTAAGATCATTCTTGATTGCTACCCGAAGTGACGGTAGCTCAATCTCCAACGATAATACAGCTTCAGCATCGAACACTAGAGAGTAAGGAGTGGCTTTGGTTGACGTTTTGTATGTTGTACAATATGCCCATAGCGCTTTAGCCATCTTTGTATGCCACTCTCTTTTGTTCTCGGTGAGAATCTTCTTCAATAATTTCACCAACGTCTTGTTGAAAGCTTCTGTCAATCCATTTGCCCTTGGATTGTATATGGATGAATATCGCCAATCGATTTTGTGCCGATTAGCGAACTTATAAATTTTTGTACTTTTAAAGGTTGTACCATTGTCTGAGATTATGAGGGGTGGTACACCAAATCTGTAAACAACATTGTGGGTGAAAAAGTTGATCACATGCTATGATGTGACCTCTCTGAATGGAGCTTCTTCTGCCCACTTGGAGAAGTTGTCTGTTGCTACCAGAATAAAGCGATGTCCCGCTGAAGACGGCGGATCTATCGGCCCAATTATGTTAGTGCCCCAACATTCAAATGGCCAAGATGTTATTGCTGGGTGCAGCGGATTTGGAGGCTGATGTATAACATCACTGTGGATTTGACACTCGTGGCACCACTTAGCATGATCAATACAATCTCTGACCATGGTCGGCCAATAGTAACCCATTCTCTTAATTTTAACGACCATTTTTGGACCTGACTAATGTGCTCTGTAAAGCCTTTCGTTGACTCCTATCACCACTTTATCAGCTTCTTTGGTTCCTAGGCACCTTAGCCACATTTGATCAAAAGCTCTCCTGTATAAAGTGTTATTAACAAATGCATAACGCAACGCTCTTTTTCAAATTTGTGCGGCAATGGAATTTTCTATCGGAAGTTTGTTTTCCTTGAAGTAGTCAATTAATAGTTGCCTCCAATCATTTTTTATTTCAATATCCAAACAATGCCCCCACGATTCTAAAGCTTGACTAGCTTTACGTCTCTTGGCCACATTATACTCCTATGTATAATTCTCCATAACGATCTAATGGAGGGATTGAGGGTCAACTAGCATTTTATCTCGCTGGATTGAATCTGGTATTTCTTCTACCCTCGGGAATTATAATATAACAGGCTCTAACACCTTACAAGTGTAAACTCCGATGAATATAGGCCTCTCCTCGTTGATGTTCGCCATTTCTTTGGCTAATTTAGCCAAACAATCTGCTTTAGCATTCTGTCCTCGAGGAACTCGAGCTATTTCAACATTTGGTACTTGCTTCAGAAGCTCGAGGGCTCACCGATGGTAATGGGCCAATTCAACTTTGCCAACCTTGTAGATACCAAGGACCTGATTTATCACGAGCTGAGAATCACCAAATGTTTGGAGATGTTGGATTCTGACATCGTCGCAATCTCTAGCCCTGCTAATAGAGCTTCATACTCGGCTTCGTTGTTGGTCCGAGATTCAGTCAAACTGAATGAGAACCTCATTATGCCTCCCTCAGGTGCTACGAAAATAAGACTAATGCCGGCTCGGGCTCTTGCAATATTTGGAGGTCTAATAGGTTTAATCGACAATGCACCGTCAAAGTACATCTCCCAAAATAGTAGTTTTCTATCTTCCTCGACCTGCATGATTTGCTCATCGGAAAAATCATCGTTAAGTGGAGAGTCTGCTGGGATCGGATGTGCAGTAAGAAAATCTGCCAAGGCTTAACCTTTCACCGCCTTTAATGGCATGTATGTGATATCAAACTACAATAATAATACCGCCCACCGGGCCAGGCGACCTGTCAACGCTGGTCTTGTCATCAAGAACTTCAGCGGATCGATCTTTGATATCAGGGTAATTTTGTGGGATAACATGTAGTGGCAGTGTTTTTGAACCGCAAAAATCAGCGCCAGAAAATGCTTTTCATTAGGAGAATAATGACTTTCTTCTCCGATCAACCTCCAATTGATGTAGTAGAGTGTGTTTTTTTTTTCCTTCTTCATTATGCTGGGCCAATAGTGCTCCAAGGGACTCTTTTAGAGCTACTGTGTACAGTATAAGAGGCTTCCCTGGAATCGGCGCTGCTAGAATGGGAGGATTCAATAAGTATTTCTTGATACTATCAAACGCTTCCTAGCACTCTTCATCCCATTTAAAGCGAACATCTTTCTTCATCAACTTCGAGAATGGTTGGCACCTGCCCGAAAGATTTGATATAAATCTCCGGATGAAAGCTAGTTGCCCTTGTAGTGAGCGAAGCTGTCGAAGGTTCTTTGGAGGTGGTATCTTCATGATTGTCTTGATCTTGTTGGGGTCGACTTCGATACCTCGAAGACGGACAATGTACCCCAAAATTTGCCAAAAGAAACTCCAAAAGCACAC